CCCTTCGTCGTCTTCGTCGTGGTCTGACTGACTACCTTCGTCGTTGATAGACGCCCCCTTTCCTGCCTCCTCCCTTTGACGGTCTTGTTCCTCTTTGATCAACTCAGCAAGCAGCTTCTTGGCGGGACCGACAAGATAGGTGTCCATCTGTTTAACGACGGTCTTGAATCGAGGGTCCAGATAGCTAGCGATGAATGCGTGTACACCTGGAGCCTTCCATTTGTCGTCAAATATGTTGTACATCGCTCCAGTTACCCGAGAGACTTAAGGGTGCACTCCCGCTGCTCAATCAGGTGAGTCTTTAGCTTGTAGCGGCAAGGAATAACCGTAGAGAAAGTCGAGTAATACGAGCCTCCAAGTTGAACCGTAACAGCCTCGAAAGGCTTCAGAAGGTTTACGAGGTCTGCCAGCATTTTCCAATCGTCAGAGCAGGGTATGATGGTGGAGACGTTTGTGACAAGCTTGATAAAGTCTGCACTCGGCTTAACAGGCTTAATAAAACCTGGTAACGATCGAGAAGAGGTCTTTTGTGCTTTAAACGTACTCCAAGCTGCTCGTTGAGCAGCTAGATCACTCTCCAACTTGGCTTTATATCTTTCAATGGCTTCTTGTAGCCTCAGCAATCTCTCCACCGTAAGTAGCGTGGAGTTCCACCTTGTGTCTACCTCTTTAATCGCGCATACGGTATCTGTCTCTGACACTCCAAGGAAGGCCTGGGCATCCCTAAGGAATTGCTCCTGCTTTGGCCTTGACAACAGGACATTAAGCCCTCTAACTTTCTCCAGGCAATTTGCCAGCGAATCGTGCTCAACCCCATGACGAACAACTAGCTGGAGAGAATGCGCAGCGTGTCGTATGTGCACAAAATCAATGTTTTCAAAGGCCTTCACCACATTGCTACCGTTGTCCGAAGTTACAAAAGAGACTTTTGAGCTCAAGCCTTCTTATTCTAAGATGGAGCGAAACGTACTGAGAATCTCATCTGAGGTATGGGGATACGGCACCAGCTTTGTCCGCACGTCTACCGTCTCGATTGATGTTCCAGATGAACTGAGCCAATGTAAAGTCACTCCACAATATGGCTCGTTGGCTCCAGAAGTCCCGAAGTCGGTCGTTGCGTGGACAGTCTCGACAGTAGACAATACATCTGTCCTAAGCTGAGCCCTTTTGAAAGCACACTTCTCTTGCACCTTTAGCTTAACGTGCTGCCGAAATGGATGACGGTAGCGATGATTAAGCCCTTGGATAAACCTCCTGAAAGGTTTAGACTCAGAAAGAGACAGTGGTTC